AGAGCTTGTTCCTGTGCAAGCGGGAGGTTGATTTGTGGAGGAGGAGGTCGGCGTGACGTTGTTACAGGAGCTACCTTCAAACACGGACCAATGACTTGGTAACCAAGACTGGTCAAAAAATTCGAGGCAGCAGCCACCATGATTTTAATGTCTTCAGGGTATCCCTCAAAGTGTGATTATACAAACTCTTCTAGATGAAAAAGCAGCCGAGCTTGTTTCTCGCTAACGATGCGCTTCGAATTCGTGGCTTTAAGCAAACCTTATTAGCGGGTGTAACGAATGGCGTTTCAACGACATCGACATCTGGATTTAGCATAATATTCAGAGTGGAGCGTGTTGCTTCGGCATCGTACCTACAAAAAGCAATCCGGCTTATCGTGACGGTTATAAGAAAAAGGAATTCCAACAGAAACGCGCTTCTCTCAAATCGGTATTTCAAAAGTAATTATACGAGACCTATTATCCTCAAAAATTCGTTCCACAGATTGATCATCACACGATGAGAACTCCTCCAAAAGCATGTTCAGCTGAAGTTTCTGGGCAACAGTCAGTTTCCTCTACAAGTGGATGTCATGATGAATAGATATTACTCTCAATCTTATACGGCATACGTACACTTATATGCAAATGGCTGCCCAAGACAGAAGCTGTCATTACTAACAACAGAATTGAAAAATATTTTTACCTTAACGGGAGGACCACCCCCAGGATCGCTAGAGTTATTCTCATCCTCTTGGAGAAAAGCAGCCAATTCAGCGTCACTTTGATGTGACTCTCGCACAGTATCTAAAATGAATCATTAAATAGACTAAGGAAACTGAAGTATTCAAAACAAATTTTTCTTTGCATAGAACTTTTAAGAGGGCATTTAAGTTATACTAAGTTCAATCGAAATAAGGAAGCAAAAGGCGTTAGGACTTCAAATTTTAAGGGGTTCTGGGATGCGCCAGGGGATGAGAACCTAAAAATTTCATTTAATTTAACATCCTTTACCGACCGGAATCGGACTAAGCTTACGTTAGGGACTCATTTGGTTTGGTAGTACCCTATGTACATCAACGGAACTGATCGCGAAACAAGTTCGTACCAAGATACAGTACCCTCAGCGCCACACTCAATTAGAAGAGAAGAAACCAGGCGGCTGTACTTACCACCCCTCCACACTAAGTACAGCTGCTCAAGAAGCCATACAGGTACACGTAAACTGCATTCTTGCTCCACCGCGACTCCGTCTCCTGAAACTCTTTCAATAGATATTTCATGAAAATTTTTGCTTGATTCGGCCAATGTTCTTTCGAACTCACCAAAAAGAACGCTCATCTTCTGGAGCATATCCAATCCGAGCGTGACTGTGATCTCCTTAACCTCTGCATCCGCAGGATCCATTTGAATGGGCGTCGCACTGGGTTTATCTGGAAATAATTGTATTCATTGAAAGTTCAAGAGAGATTGCACTGAATTACACCACACTTAAGAGAATTGAAGGCCACAGGGATCTCAGTTAGTGAAACCTATCACGTAAACCCTACAACACATAACACATTGGGTTTGTAGGCTTCTGGCAGACTGTGTTTGCCTTTCAGGAGGTGGAGCGACCTTTTGCTCATCTGGAAGAGATGTTATCTCATATTGTCCAAGGGGGTGGGAAAGGGTTGGGAACAAGCAACGTTCGCAAGAAATGCCTCATCAGGAATGACTAACAGCTAAATGCCCTACTAACTGGTTGAACTTTTGCGTGATCGAATCTCGCGTGGCCAAGTGAGTACTGTAAAGATTGATAAGCTGGGTTACAATGCCAGTTGTTTGTTACATTATCGACTACACCACATTAGGATCGAAAAGTGAAGCTATAAAGTTGTGTATTCGTATTTAAACGCAATCTTCCACCAGCTAGTGGTCCTTATTATGACGTTTGAAACCCAAAACTTTTGAGGAATCAAAATCTAAGCTGCGCCAGTATTGACATCTGATTAGGATTAGGCGCTTCTGGTTGATAACCCCCTTACGCAACGCAATCCTTACACCAGATGTTAAAGTAGAAAGGGCAGTACCTAATAATCTATGGACCGCTTTCGATTACAGAGACCTGTTTAGAAAAACATTTCCATATCAAACACCTTTCATATCCTCTTGTTCAGCAAGTCTCTGCCAATTGGTAATGGGTGGCGGTGCGTGAGGGCGTGTCGCACTGATTTCAGCTGCAGCGAGTTCTTCAATGAATGCACCCTATAGAGAAATTAAACGTTAACCCTCTTCAGAATAATGGAACAAAAACTCGCCTCCCTCACAGATGCGGCCCAATCAACGTAGGAGCCCAGTTCAACGAAGAGCTTCACGCATTCATCCAATCCCAACATCTTCAAAAAATTTTTTAATTAAAAATTCATTCATGCTTAACTGATTCGTGACATAAAAAGACAGTATATATTCGACGTGCTCGAACAGAAAAAGCAAGTCACCTGGTAATAATGAGAAAGGTTCACGATTTCCTCGCATGGAAAAATCGCAATAAGAACATCCAGTTCAGAAACTTGCGGTGTGTTCCTTAAATATTGCCATATATCTCAAAAGTACTAAAATAGCGATCAGCAACCCAAAAAAAGGGAGGGAAAAAAGAAACCAACTCCATCTTAACAACTCGATCTTTCATCGCCAATTTCCTCTCTTTGTACCTTTCCACTTCCTGTACAGCGCCCTCCACTACATCATCGACAATGCATGAGATTCCGGCACATGTTAGCGTGACTACAAAGCATATGGAACCATAACTAATACCAAGCACGAAACAATAAGTATATTCATTCCAGTCATTGTGCGACAGTGCTCCACATATGGGATTTCTATGTAAACCGCCATCTTGACATTTGTTCATCGTTTTCCCACACAATCTACACTGCACAATACATAATGCCGCTTCCACCCTCAGCAATACAACGGCATGTTAATGAGTTGCCTATAGTTCTCAGGAACATGCCTACGATCGTGACCACCACCAGATATGTGGTTGTTTGGGCAAAGGTGGAACGAAAGCTTTAGATCTTCTAGGAACAGCCGTAAAGAAAATGAAGAGATTATGATAAGTGAAATAATAAGTATTACAAGAATAATGACGGAAACTAAGCAGTAATCTCTGTTTTTGAACACTCTCCGCCGTACTGTACATTGAATGGATAGGTAAAACTAGAAAAAGAAACCAGATGGGTAGTAAAAAAATATGCAAGTTTAATGGCACTGGTTCGTAAACTCACCCTTCAACTCAGAAAAAAGCAGAAACAAAACAGCAAAAATATATCATCGAAATCAACTGACCAACGACTTCATTCGTCTGTGTCGACATATCACGCACAGTCAGCGAATGAAGATGTGAGCGAGGATCAAAAGCCAGTGAGATTGGAGAAAGCAAAGAAGCAAGTGTGCCAGTTGGTGAAGGAGATGCAGGGGCGCCTTAAAACACATCTATTAAATCTTTTCAAAAGTAGTAAATGATGGATCCGTAACAATCTTATGAATGAATACGACTCTCGATAATTCACAAAGAAATCAGTGCGAGTTAAAATGATCAAGGGAGCGCTCTGCAGCAATAATGAAAACTTACTCGACGACTTCTGCCCAAGTAGTCCAGGCGGGTAGTGGTCGGAAGACACGACAAGTGATAAAGTACGACCGTGGGTAGGAACTGAAATTCCGACAGTAACCTATAGACAATACAAATGGCAAAGAGGTCATGTGAGCAGCTTGAAGAGTTCTATTTATTGTGGATCACTTTCATAAAAACTATCTTGAAAAGGTTAAATATGAACGTTGAGTAGTATGCTCCACTATAAGACATTACTCAACGGTTTGCCGTTCTTCTGCTTCTCACTATGCACGAGTCTCTGTGGCACCCTTTCAACAACATAAATTTGGCATTCATACCTTGCAGGCTTGTTTGGGAGTGGTCCATACTGACTCCTTTATCATCATTTTCATCAGCTATTTCATGACAAGGCGGCTCTATTCTGAAGAACCAAAAATGAAATCCTGTGGACCGACACAAAGTCGGGAACATTACCTGACTTGTCGCCCTTTGCCCACCAAACGAGACAACGATGGCTTTCCTTGTTCTGCCAGTGACTGCAACATGAACTCTATCTTACCCATTTCCAATCCATGAGTATTGCGTCTGAAATGAGTGGTTAAAAAATGATTTGAAATGGCAAATAAAAAGAAAGACCCCTACAAAAAGCATTCATATGCTTCATACTTCCACCACGTCTCAGGCTCTAGCACAAAAATTTCGTAATAGTTGTTAACAGCCTGAAAATTGCAGCAGCCTTATCACAAGTAACACAATAATTTGATACAAACCTACATGAAATGTATATTGCTCCATGTGATTGGAGTAAATGTTAGTATTGTCAACGATGATCGGCTTAACTCCATCCAACATAGCCTCCCTAACTGAAAAATACGTATCCTACACTGCCCTGAAGACCAACAAAAGAACCATCGACTTTGTTGAAATTAAGAGGTACCTCGTAGAATATTGTTCCTGTGATACTCTTCCAGCTTTTCGGGCTGGAACCGATACTGCCCATTTTGAACGAAAAAATCGTCAGTACTATACACAACTCCGCCATGATTCGAGGCAAGAGAACTATATTTAAAAACAATCAAATGTTTTGAAAGCAGAAAACGTCTCTGACATTCAAACAAACTCTGGTAAGGAAGTTCAATACTTGCATGAGGAAAGAGTAAAAGAAGCTGTCGACACTCACTTGGCTAGAAATGACTTTCCACTTCCTGGAACTCCACGCATCAAAATCAACACATGATGGCCCTCGCGAATACATCGTTGAATATTTTCCAGGGGAGTGTAGGCGTCATAACACTGCACGTGCTGTAGTGGCTTGGACATCGACCACCTTCTAAAAAAAAAGCCGCACTGTCAAATTATATTTGAAACGGTTTTATAACTTGGAAAAAAGGAGCGATTTATCGTTAGAAGACAATCAAAACAGTAAATCTAGTGTTCTGTTTGTTGGTCAGAAGAGAAAGCTAAGAAGATATAATTATCCAAAGGGGTGTGGGAATAAGAGGAAGCACCGAGTTTCATTATCCAGAATGTTAAAGGAACCACCGACTTCTTAGACTGTTCACGAGAATAAAATGAAATGTGTCACTGGCTGGGAGTAAAGTAAGCACCTTCCTGCAGGCAAAGGGCGCATTCATACTGGAGGT